TCTAGTTGTCTGGTAAAATAATGCAAAAATTACGATACAAAGATTTTAAAATCACATGGGATATCGTATCATCGGTAAATAGCCTTATATTAATTTTGTTACAATTAAATTATTATAAAAACGCATTTTTAAAGTTTTGTTTTACAGTTAGTTTAGTTACATTACCAAGATTAGGCCAGGGTTGCATTCAGACCCTCAAAAATATTGTACATGGAAAATAAAATTATACAATTTTAAAAAAATTATATCAAGTTTGACGTTTCATTTTTATTTTTCCCATGTGCCGGGATTTTGGCGTCACGCATCTAGTTTATCTATGTTTCTTTTTTTGGCGATTTTATTTTTATTTCTGATTAATTTGTGTCTAAAGAACTTAATAAGTTAAATTTTGAATATTGGTACCTAATATATTTTATATTCAATAGGGGTAAAACGAAAAGCGTACAAAAGTAACCATATCTGCTTAATTGAATATGTAAATCTGATTTATAAAATATTTTGAAATTTTGTTTTCAAACCGATTGCTTCTGGAGCATAGAGTTTTTATCGTGGTAGCCCCTCATTTTTTATTTTTTTATTTTTTATTTTTCATTATAGTTGTATCAAAGATGCAACATAAATGCATCGATCGAGCATCGATTGACCAGAAAGGGGGTTAATTCTAATATTATTAAAAGAACGTGGTAAATACTCGATATCGTAGAGTTCGACCGACCTTTAGGTAAAATTATGGTATTTTCGCTTAGTATTATGACGATACCTCATGCTACAAACTATCAAATAATGGTACAATCACGATAATTATACTACAAAATCTGACCCTGGTTACGTCGTGTTTTGTTATGACGTTTGTATTATGACAGATGCGCTACTTTTTCTTGTATGAAAAAATTATGAGTAAAATATTTAGATGGGCCTATCCTTCCTTTTGAAATCATTGGCCCAACCAGATGTGAATACTCTATTAATAACCCCCCTAATAATAAATCAATAATAATTACTAATTTATATTTGTAATAATTTATAATATCTAAAATTATAAAAAAACAGTTTATAATTTATTTAATAATAAATAATAATAATAATTTCGTTATTTTCCTAAAAGTATAAAATTACCAAATCCTGGCATTGCTTGAATGTTAATAAAAACGAAAGTTGTTAAAAAAGCCTCTTTAATTTTTTCAGTCGTTCGGATGAGAGTTTTTCCGAGTGTTTCCATTTCCTTCGCAACGTATGAGGAGTGTACTCTGGAGTGTTGTCATAAAACCCAAAAAACCGTTTCATAACCATAACTGTTACTACAGACACAATATATACTGGTTGTAATACTTACTATTGATAGTTGTTTAGAAATTTGAGGGTTTACTATTTCAACTGACTTTTGACCACTAGTCGACGGCAATAGGTCAACAGCAGGATCAATCTGAAACCAAGTGATTTGTATGTTAAATCTGCCACACTTTTTGTTTCATAGCATCCCTTGATCAAACGGCTTAATAATGAATTAATGTACCAAGATTATAACGACGGTAATATATCGGTTTATTTTAATACTGTAGAATACATTGCAAAACACTGTATTAGGTCGAGAGGAAATAATACTATTTTTATTTAATATTGTTTACTTACACGAATGCTTTAATTATTTTCAATTTCCATAAGTGTTTATTCATATAAACTGATGGAGGAAGATGATGAAATACAGGCTTTTGTTTCCTAAAAAAAATTTAATATCTTTAAAACAATAATTAATACACAATAGTTGTACGAAGATGCCTTTTACAGAAAATTGAATTTAAAGTTCTTAGTATTTTGTACTCTAAACGAGATTCAAGTTTTAATATTGATTATTAATACTTGAATCGCGTTCAGAGTCTAAGAGAAACCTGTCTCAATCATTTATTGGTAATAAAATACACAAATAATGTTTGCAACTGACACGGTAACTGTACTTAATAGTTGTAAAAACAGAAATAGGTACAACATTAGGTAATAGCAGAGTAAGTTTCTTCTTTATTATTAACATTTCATCCTTAAAATGTCTGCTGCAAACTTTTGTGACGGTTTTGGTGTCCAATCTGTTCGTCCTGTAGCTACAATCCAATTCCGACGTAAATTGTCATGTTCAGGAAAACTACAACAAACCAATAAATTTTTCAGATATTTAATTAATAGACAATGCAGAATACATATTATTATTTCTTATAATATTGGGAAATAATTTATAGGATAGTTGACAGCACCAAAGATTTTAGGTCAAAATTTACAATTGTTATTTTTGTGCTTTTTTTAATGATAAATTTGCGTTTAGAGTACATTATACACAATATATGAATTTTATAAAATGTTACAGAATGGCTAGTAAGCGATACTTACGAATGAAAAGACAACCCTGGCATTTTCGTTCCACTATCACTTTTAAACCCTAAAACACTACACACACACACACACACACACACACACACACACACACACACACACACACACACACACACACACACACACACACACACACACACACACACACACACACACACACGTACCGTGTTTTTTTAAAATGGTTGGAATACTAAGTCTAAATTGTTCAAAACAAAATATAATATGAATAACTTAACATTAAGCACATGAAACCGTTTTTTTTTTAATAACGATATCTCGCTACACTTTTGCTGTCAACCTTTGTTTAGCAAAGTAGTGTGCTAACCTTGAAAAACGTGACAAGCTCAGCGAAAAAATAGGCCTCATCGTTCTATTTCATTTTTCGACACGACATCGGCGTAAGTTGCTCTATCTCCTGTATGACTGCGATGAAAGATATCAATTTGTCTATAGCATTCTCTGTCTACGTCAAGATCCCCACATCAGATTCAAGACATGACATTTAGGCGCGCCACACACTACATACGGAATTCCGATTCAGAATTTATGAACGGAACGAACGAGTTGGCCACATACATACGAAATCCCGTTTTGGCCGCAAACTTCCGTATAGAAAACTACCATAGGTGTGTGAAGGGTCATTGATTTTATAAGGACTTGCTGCGTTTGGAATCCCGAATCGGAATTCCATATGATTGTAGCGGGCCTTAACAAACAATACTGACTACATAGGCGAATTATAATAGTGTTGTAAACATCTTACTTCGAATATCTTTATCGATATTTTTATATAATAAAAGTTAAATCTCGATACTCATAGAACAACACGGACCAACGGGAAACCCTTTATATATTATATATTACTTGTATATTACTTTCGTCTATGGGCAAATAGAGTTGTTTTCAGTAAGATTCTAATCCTGTGTAAAAAATGTTATCAGTTAATAACAAATCTGTAGAAAATATTTTTAACATAACACTTGTCTGGGTTCCTACGGACTTGTAATTTTGGACAGGAGTTAATTCCTCAAGGTTTTCTGCCTCTGGGCACTGTTCACTAGCAATATCAAGAGTCTGGATACACTGTTCACTTGCGATATCCAGAGACTGCGTATAAAATTCTTCTGCAAAATTTAAGTCTTCAGGTCTGAATATGGGCGCTGAAGTGTGCGCCTGGTCATAAAGTGCCTTTTTAATATTACGTGCTAATAATCGTTCCTCTCGAGCTTGACCTTCCTGCGAAATGGCTTTCGTAGTCCATGCAAACACTGATGGGACGGCAGATTTATTCAAGTAACGATTCTGATGTTTATTACCTGAAAATAATCAAAATTGTTAAGGAAAATGTACTTATGTGTGGTGCAAGGTATTTTAAATCAATATCAAAGGATATACCTCTATAAATATTGGTTGTTTTATAATCAGTCTCTAAAAAATGATTAATGGAGGTTCTACAAGGCTCTACATGAGCCTTTCATAGACACATTAGCCTCCCTCCACTGGCTACGCTTTGGTGACCTCTTCGGGGAAACCAAGGGTTTTGTCTGTGCAAGACAGACTCGGGTTATTAATACCAACAACTATCGGAGATACATCCTAAAGGATGGCACCGTCGACCTCTGTTGAGCTTGTCGCCATCCCGGTGAGTCACTTAGGCATGTCATCTCTGGTTGTTCGGCGCTTTCTAACTCTGAGTACTTGCACAGACACAACCTAGTATCTAGAATTCTTCACCAGGAGCTCGCTCTGAAATACGGTCTCGTGGATCGGAAATTGCCGTATCACAAGTACTTGCCGGAAGCCGTGCTCGAAAATGATCGCGCCAGGCTTTATTGGGACCGGGCCATCATCACAGATAGGACTATTCTTGCGAGTAAGCATGATATTGTGCTGATGGACCGGGCACAGTCAAGGATATTTTTGGTCGACATTACCATTCCGTATGACGAGAACCTCGTGAAAGCCGAAACAGACAAACAAACAAAATATCTGGACCTGGCTCACGAGGTGACCGACATCTGGGGTGGTCGGCCGACCGAAATTATTCCTGTAGTCGTCTCTGCGAACGGGCTAATCCCAGTCAGCCTCTCGGGCCATCTGAGGCGGCTGGGACTACGTGGCGGACCGCTCCGGGCTCAAATGCAGAAGGCGGTGCCTCCTCGATATACCCGCATCGTCCGCCGGTTTCTTTCCCTTTCCCCCTAACCTTCGGCCGTTTGGTCTCCCCTGCCGAGGGCTCCATCTGGTTGGGCTTTTATTTATTTATGTACTTTTATATTTATTTAATTTTATTGATATTTATGTATATTTATCTTTTCATTTTCATTTATAATTATATATTTATAGCACCCAAGCAGATGAGAAAACTATATTGATACCCCCAATAATAATAATAATAATAATAAATATGGCGTAGGGAAGTGACGACCCCATCGCCCGCTGACGTAACGGTTATGTGACAAAACCGCTACTTCAGCGCAGTCAGTCAGCACCTTGCCAAGAGGTGTTAGTGCCATGTTTCGGCAAAAATTGAAGGTGCAAAGGCCCGCTTGTGCACATGGCCTACCATGCAATGGCGCCGGGTCTGGGCGTCTCCCGTTAAATGACGCCCACAAAAATGGATGATGGATTTGACTAGAATGCGCAAAGGGCCGCTGCCTGGAGGTCGCCAGGGCGCGTCTGGAGCTGGTGCTGGACGCGACAGCATGCGTACCGCCAGCCGACGAGCGCGAGGTGCTGCACGACCACCCAGCAGCCCCTCGCATCCATCATCCCCACCAGCTGGCTTGGTGTCGGCAGGATCTTCGCGGGCCCAGCAATCAGCACCCGCCACTGGTGGAGCACGCCGCATGCGTTGGACAACTCAAATGAACAGCAACGCATTGCGGGCGTATTTTAGGGCGAAAGGGGGAGAAATCGGAGGTTTTGCGTATCGGGCAAGGATGCGTCGACTTTTTGCTGAGCTGGACCCATCTATAAGCGTCACCGAGCAAAACCTGGCCGACCAAGTTCGGTATATCTTGCGCTCAAATACATTTGATGTCACCGAACTCGAACGGCTACGACGTGAGGCTGTTCCTTCATCGGATGAAAATGCTACGGCTGAGAATGCGGCACCGCAACTTGCAGAGCAACCGACAAATGTGGATGCCGCCGTGAATACCCCAGTTTTGGTTGATTCAAACGATCAAACGCATCAGTGTCCCGGGATGTAAACACCAGCGCTCTAAAAAAGAAGTATAATTCCGCCTCTAGGTCATTCAAAAGAGTCATTGCCAAGACAAAGTCATAATGAGCACATAGGCAAAATTGACGAGAAAATAGTTCGCCTTCCTTCTGGAATCCATGCATTCTGGTCTCTCGCCAAGGCTGTCCAGGGGAATTCCTGTCAGCCATTTCTACCATCTCTGCACAGGAAGGACGACTCACTGGCCCATAGCGCAAAGGAGAAAGCCGATCTTCTAGGCTCTTTCTTTGCGTCCAACTCGACTCTCGATAACGGGGGGAGTACGCCGCCGACCATCCCGCGGTGTGAGTGCTCCATGCCGGAAGTGCAGTTCACACAGCGCCCGGTTCGCAAAGCACTCCTCTCCTTGGACATCCACAAGTCGAGTGGGCCAGACGGAATCCCCCCAATTGTGCTGTGGACGTGTGCTCCAGAGTTGGCACCGGTTTGAACGCGTCTTTTGTGGTACTCCTACTCCCTAGGCGTAGTCCCAAAAGCATGGAAGATGGCTTTCGTCCACCTGATCCCTAAAAAAGGCAACCGCTCAGACCCGTCCAACTACCGGCCTATCACCATCACCTCCTTGTTCTCCAAAACAATGGAGTCCATTGTAAACTGCTGATTAGGGACCGCCAATACGGTTTTCGCTGTGGTCGGTCAGCTGGTGATCTTCTGGTCTACCTAACTCACAGATGGGCGAAGGCAGTAGAGTCCAAGAGGCAGGCATTGACCGTTAGTTTGGACATTGCGAAGGCCTTCGATCGGGTTTGGCATAAAGCACTTCTTTCGAAGCTACCTTCCTATGGGCTTCCCGAGAGATTGTGCGATTGGATCACCAGCTTTCTTGCAGATCGGAGCATCAAAGGTCGTTGTAGACTGCAACGATTGCAAGCCTATTAATGCTGGTGTTCCACAAGGCTGCGTGCTATCGTCAACGCTGTTTCTTCTGCATATCAATGATATGTTGCAAACCCGTAACCTTCATTGCTATGCAGATGACACCACTGGTGATGCTCTTTACACCAGCCGAACCAATATTTTTCGGGAAAACGTATCCATGTGCCGGTGTGTGCCGTTTCTAAATCTAGTCCAATTTAACCCCCAGAAGACACAAGTTTGCGCGTTAACCGCTAAAAAGAACCCCTTTGTCGTATCTCCTCAGTTTCAAGGCACTCCCATTGTTGCCTCAGCCAGTATCGGAATGCTCGTCGACATATCGAGTGACGTGCATTTTCGTGGTCACTTGAAAGAGAAGGCCAAATTGGCCTCTAAAAAGCTTGGCGTGCTCAGCAGAGCGGGACAGTATTTCATGCCGGCACACCGCCTGCAACTTTACAAGGCCCGGGTTCGGCCGCACATGGAATACTATTCCAATCTCTGGGCTGGGGCTCCCCAGTACCAGTTCCTTCCACTTGACCGCATCCAGCGCAGAGCGGCTCGAATTGTCGACGACCGAGTGTTTTCCGATCAGCCTGATTCACTAGCACTGCGATGAGATGTTGCATCTCTTTGCATTTTCTTTCGCATATACCATGGAGAGTGCTCTGAGGAAATGTTCGGATTAATCCCAGCCGCCAAATTTTGTGAAAGCACTACGCGGCAAACGTTACGATTCCATCCACACCATCTGGATGATTGGCGGTCCACCACTGTACGTTTCAAAGGGGGTTTTCTTCCGCGTACAACCTCTCTGTGGAATAGTTTACCACTGGCGATTTTTCCGGACCGATACGACCTGGGTACCTTCAAGAAAAGAGCTTACTCCTTTCTAAAGGGCCGGCAACGCACCTGCAATTCCCCTGGTGTTGCGGTTGATCATGGGCGGCGGTTGTCACTTAACATCAGGTGAGCCGCATGCTCGTTTGCCCCCTCTTCTATAAAAAAAGGATATTTTTGGTCGACATTACCATTCCGTATGACGAGAACCTCGTGAAAGGTGAAACAGATAAACGAACAAATTATCTGGACCTGGCTCACGAGATGACCGACATGTGGGGTAGTATGCCGGCCGAAATTATTCCTGTAGTCGTCTCTGCGAATGGGCTAATCTGAGGCGACTGGGACTCCGTGACGGACCGCTCCGGGCTCAAATGCAGAAGGCGGTGCTCCACGACACCGCCCGCATCGTCCACCGGTTTCTTTCCCTTTAATCCTAACCCTCGGCCGTTTGGTCTCCCCTGCCGAGGGCTTCCATGGCTTTTATTTATTTATGTATTTTTGTATTTATTTTATTTTATTGATATTTATGTATATTTATATTTTCATTTTTAATTATAATTATATATTAATAGAACCCAACCAGATGAGAAAACTTTATAGATACCCCACTTAGCCATAAAACGGCGCCGGGTCTGGGCGTCTCCCGTTGAATGACGCTCATAAAATGGCTGATAGAATTTTATAGATCGCGCAAAGGGCCGCTGCCTGCGGTCACTGGGGCGCGTCTGGAACTGGCGCTGGACGCGACAGTATGCGAACCACCAGCCGAGCTTGAGGTGCTGCTCGACCACCTAGTAGCACCTCGCATCCATCATATCCACCAGCGGGCTTGGTGTCAGCAGGGTCTTCGAGGGCCCAGCAATCGGCACCCGCCACTGGTGGAGCAAGCCGCATGCGTTGGATAATCTCGATGAACAGCAACGCATTGCGGGTGTATTTTGGGGTGAAAGGGGGAGAAATACGAGGTTTTGCGTATAGGGCAAGGATGCATCGACTTTTTGCCGAGCTGGAGCCATCTGTAACCGTCACCGAGCAAAACCTGGCAGACCGAGGTCGGTATATCTTGCCGAACTCGAACGGCTATGGTGTGAGGCTGTTCCCTTATCAGATGAAAATGCTACGGCTGAGAATGTGGTGCCACAAGTTGCAGAACAACCTACACACGTGGATGCCGCCGTGAATACCCCAGTGGTGGCTGATTCAAATGATGATGGAACATTCGCCCAGGAACTAGAAATAGAGCAAATGAGGAATACATTGGAAGAGGCGATTGTGGAAACGCGCAGTACGCCTCTCGAAAATCGACCGCGACTTCCCCGCATAGCCCTAAGCAAGCGGAATCGGGCTGTCGACTCGGATGGGAACCCAATGCTGGTGGCCTATATGGAAGCCAGCCGGGACCTTTGCAAGACGGACTCAATTCTTTTTGGCGCCGTGCTGGCAGTCTGCTGTATTACAGGCGCCAAGGTTTCCTCGGCTGGACGCGCTACTGTGTGATGTGATCAGAAGAGGCTCTATGAATCATTGGAGCGACCGATGGTAAGTGGAACGGGCCCAGCACCGAATCAGGCCGACACTATAACATTATGGCGCGGCCTGTAGTCAGAGCCCGTAAACCACAGCGAGGGCCCTTGGACGGAAGTTGTGGCGAGTCAGTGTGCAAGCAGAACGCCCTTAACGACCCTTAATGCATTATAACGCCGGACGACGTAGCTGAGGCGGTCCGTAGGGCCCCGAACTGGAAAAGTTCAAGACTCGACGGGCTGCATCACTACTGGCTGAAGGGGTTTGTGGTGTGTCACACTGTGCTCGCCAGATAAAGCCGAGGTACATCACCTGGCCTTATCTGATCACGAAACGGGACAAACACTTTCGCTCAAAACGACTAAATCGTATGAACTATGCAGTTGGTATGAGGATGTCAGAGATTATAGTAAAGAAAACATGGCCAAGTTCTGTAGCTGCATATTGTCTCTTACTTTCTCAACTGTATACGAAAAAAATAACTTACAAGAGGTGTTTGTTGAATTTCATGATTTATTTAAACTATTTTTTGATCTTTGCTTCCCAATACATACAATAAAAAGGGCAACTAAAAAAGAGAACCATAAATGGTTGACGAAGGGCATTAGAAAATCCTGTATAATGAAAAGATATCTCCACCTTAGTCAACAATATAATAGAACAAACGGAAAAATACTCAATAAAAAATATAAATCATATAGTTCCATACTTAAAAAGTGTATAAATATATTATATATAATTAATTTACCCCTTTTCAATAAAATTATATATATGTGACTAGGATAAATAAGATATGTTTTTATCTTTCTAAATGATCTTCCTAAAGGTTTAACAATAGGCCGTTTGTAATATTTTTGGCGTGATCGTCTTAGTTAGGACCCTTATTTACTTAGTTAGTTTGTTTAGTAAATTAGTTCTTTTAGGTGTCTTTTGGAAGAATGAATATTCACTAGAGTAATTGAAAGCTATTGGTGGTGCCTTATAAACTAAGACAGGGCTCGTTCACAAAGACAGGGCTCGAGAAAGGTTAAGAACGTCCCTATTCCACTTGTATCAGATTTACATTATAAATTTATAATTAATTATCCCTTCCCGCTCGGAAAAGGCTCATAATATATTTATACAAAATACCCGATACAAGGGCTTCGCTCTCCTACATTTATTTTAAAAAATGTAGGGGAGGCACACGGCACACACGCCGTGCGCGGCGAGTGCCAACCATTTTGATGCACTCCCCCCGAAGGGAATGCTATTTCGGGAACTGAACCGTAGTCCACAACAAAATAACTGGCGAACCAGTAAAAGAGGCTTGGCCCCTTGTTAGTGCGTAAGCACAAACATTGACCGAAGTCGTGTATGTCAATGCGTGTAAAGGCCATACAGATTACGAACGAATCCAGCCACAGTGAATGTACGTCACACGGTTTAGGCAAATGGCCGTAAACCCTCCGTGAGCGCTACCACCTGCCAGACCGCCGCTCCTGCAGACGTGATGTAAGGGTATGGCATCACCACCAATTGCATGATCTGCACGGCTACTAGCCGCAGAGCATGTCTTGAGTCTACCGCTCACTTCAAGGGAATGGGGTCCCACGTTGTGCGGCTTTCGGCCGCAGCTTTGAGAGTCTCCTCAGATCCTCCCGCCAGCTACCACCCACATGAGTTCGACACATATGCTCCACCAACCAATACAACGGCAGATATAGCCAAAAGGCAGTTATAAGATGTTAGTAATTTGCCATCAGAAAGGTTTTGTATCACTGACGTTGAGTAAATGCATTTTCGATCATCTTTGTCTCACCCACCAACAAGTTGCCTTCAATCATTCAAAGGTGGGAAAGTTACAGAGATATATTATTATGTTGTTACATGAAACATCATGGAGGGCAGACAATCTACAGCCCCGTAATGAAGGGACCCGACTTGGGCAAAGCGCCATTGAGAATAGCGTCCCACCAAACAACCATCGCAGAGACACAATGCTGCAGAAAGCAATAAGCATCAATACGACTATCGTCGGCTTACACTATCCCAAGGTCCCCCATACATCCCAGCAGACATCACCACCTGCATACCTCCATCGACCAGAACCACAAGAGTGCGTCGAATCGGGCGCAGCACATCAGCAGATCCATCACAAGACGCAATACCGCAAGAAGCAATAAGCATCAGTGCAACTATCATACGGATGGTGCCCCCTCACAACACATCCACATGATCCCTATTGACTTTGGTAACAAAGTTTGTAAAACATCACCAACGTATCATAGTAACACGCTACTAAGACGCCAGTGAACAAAACCTCACGTATCATAGCGCTAATGCACTAAGACATGAAGTTGAATATGCTTGTTACACCTAAAAGTGCTACCAAACACACTCATGCCAATCCGAAAGATAGACGACGCATCGCTATGCGCTACGACGCCGCCCACAAATGGTATGGGTGTGCGATGTCCACGGGAGAGCCGTATTGCTAAAACATACCTGCTTACCACCGTCACTAAGATGATATGTCTAGGACACATCGGTTAGCGAGTCCAAGTTTACCTCGGACCAATTGCTCGTGAAGCAGCATACGCGCCACCATAATAATCCTTTTCAAGTCCCTAATAAGGACTAGTCATTTTGCTACAATACTAAGAGCAGTCGGTCACCCGACCACCCCATATAATGCTTATGCATCAAGGATACCTTCTATAATAATGCTTTTGTATCATAGACCTTACTTTCATAAGTCATTAATATATAGGACTTCAACCCACGAATCTACTATTGTAATGCTAATTCATAATAGAGACCTTCTATAGTATTGCTTTTGTATCATAGACCTTACTTTCATAAGTCGTTAATAATGATTTCTTATATTTACGCGAACAGTACACATTGATTAAAACTATTTTTACGGATTTTATCGCGTTTAATTATACTTCTAATTATTTTTATTTTTAATTCCCGACGTTTCGGGTGCTTTCCAGCACCCATGGTCACGGGGGACTGAGGTGACTGACGTCCCGATGTCATTGTTAAACCCGGAGTATCTTCAGCTTTTTTAATTATTGTTTATGGTCCGATCTATGCAAAATGAACTGATTATGTCCTGAGGTCTTGCAGTGGTATGGTTGGGTTTAGTTTTAATTTTATTGATTATAGGGTCCCAAGCAGGTGGTAGTACCCAGCCTCCTTCTCTATTGAAATTAGGATGTTTTTTAATTTCAATAGCCTCACGTATCATCCTTGGTGGGAATCGGTTCTTTCGCGAGGATTTGTGGTCTATCAAATCTGATATAATGGTTGGGGCCGTCTAGGATATGATCACAAACTGCAGACTTCCCGGAACGTTGATGCTTCACATCAGCTATATGTTTTAAACTTTGTGTAGTTTAAAAAGAACGTTGAAGAGAATAGGGCCTAGGTGAAAACCTTGCGGAACACCAGTAGTAATATCGCGTAACTCCGATCTGTAACCATTAACCACTACATAGAAAGAGTGTCCAGATAGATAAAATTTGTACCCAAGCTAGAACAGGGGGGCCCCATTCCGTATGCTGATAATTTTACCAGAAGCTGTCGATGGACTACTATATCAAAAGCTTTGCTAAAATCTGTATATAACGCGTCTACTGGTTTTTTGTTTATTGGCATCAATACGACTAACAATGTCCTCAATATACGTTACTGGATTAGTATTAGTAGACCTACCTTTTGTGAAGCCGAGTTAGTTTTCATTTAAATATTTGTGGAAGTAGGCTTGAAGAATAGGGCAGACTAGAGACTCAAATACTTTAGCTAATGAGGACAATATGGAAATAGACCTATAGTTGCTAATGAGCTGAGCATCACCGGCCTTGTAAATTGGTACCACTTTAGATACCTTCCAAGCATTGGGAAAAACCCCAGAACTCAATGAGTTGTTAACCTTTTGAGCGCCAGGCCAAAAACGCATTACCTTGTCCTGTACGCCAAAGCGAAAAGTAAACAAAAATACCTACGAAAAAAATAGTGTTGCCACGAGTTGATATATCGATAACACAAAATTACTTGATTTTGTTTGTTTTTTATGCAATAAATTACTCTTTATAATCTGGTATGTTTTATTTAATCTTGTACTGTCTTCCACTCTTTTTATATATTTACTTTGTAGATAAATAAAAATAAACAATAACAATAAAATAGTAGTAAACCACAACACTACTCTTCATCGTGATGACGTCACTGTCACGACTGGATGACAACGGCGTAGCTGACCTTCCTTTTTGAAACTTTTTTTAGAGATGTAGCCGTGTCGCACGTTGTGTATCGATTTCGGAATCGATATAACCAAAATATACAGAGATCGACTCAAAATATTTTATGTGTCGGGGGAGGTATAGGCCAAGTGAAGCACAGAATAAGTCTTACGCTCTTATAACAATAGGGATTTGATATGATGCTGATGCTACTACATGATTTTGAGATAATCATAATCATAATCTTTATTGCAATCAAATGGTAACAATAGAATTTGGTTTTTTTTAAATAGTCCGCATTTGAACCCCGTTTGGGCGTAGCAATTATAAAAATATTAAATATTTTTTAAAACTACAAGATTTCATTAATAAATTACATTATTAGATTATATTATTTTAAAATCTTGTAAATTTAATTAAATTAATAATCACAATGTCAAGTAAAAAAATAATTATTATTGTTATAAATAAAAATAATAATTGAATAAAAAAATTAAATTAAATTAGATAAGCACAGGCCGAAGTTGTCCACACAAATTAAATAACATTTGTACAAAAATATTCATTTAAATTATAGAAACATTTTTCAATCAAATATAAGTTTAATTTGGATAAAAATAATGTAGTACTCGTTGAATTTATTATGTCATTTGGAAGGTTATTAAAAAATTTTACCGCCATACGGTAGGGACTATATATTATAGAGCTATGCAAAGCAAGAGTAGATTTCGGCAATAGTAGCCT